GGTGATCTTGGGCTCGTTGGATTTGTCTCGTCGAGCCGCTCGATTTGAGTATAAGCTCGTTAAAATCGAAGACCGTTTGGTAACTCAAATTGTGGTACAAGCTTTCCAACAGCACTTCAGGCGCTTGATTTGGGCTCACTTGGACTCGGATTGAGTTGAATTTGATGTCGTTGGGTTTGTATTTCTGAGACGCTCAGTTTGACTGTAAGCTCGCTGAAATTGGAGTTCAGATGCTCCCATATTTAATTTCAGAAATTCCCAACTTGATTTTTGCCTCGAGATTCGTGCCCGATCAAGATAATTTCTTGAGGACGTATCAAGTATGTACATATAAACATTTTCTTAATAATTGATTTTATTTAGTTACATTTTTATGGCATAAACAAGTTGTATAAAATATATAACATATTATATAATAAAGCATTTATTCAATATAATAAAATATTATTATGTTAAGCCTTTAATAAAATACAATAATTTTCCTCACTCATTATTAAATATTTCTTAATAGTCTCATGAGATCATATAAAAGATAAATTATAATAGACAAGTGGTTTTAAAAAATAATTAAAGATAAAAAATGAACAATTGCATGAGAAGATGTTAGAGTCAAAGCAATATATTAAAATCAGGATGTTTCGTCATTTTATACAACAACAACAACATCAACCATTTATCTCATTATGTTGGGTTGGCTACACAAATACTTTTTTCTTCATAGTGTCATGTTAAAAGTCAAATTTTCATTTAAATCTAATAAAGAAATATCATTCCTAATATTTTATAACCAAGTCTTCTTAGGTTCACCTCTACCTTTCTTAACATAAGCCAAATCTAATACATCTACTATCCTAACCGCATCATCGGAAGGTCATTGTTTTAATGTGACGAAACCATCTAAGGCGACTCTCTATAATCTTATTTGTCACTGGAACTACTCCAACATTTTCACGTGTAAGCTTATTTCGTATCTTGTCTCTAAGAGTAAAGTCACTCATCCACCTAAGCATCCTCGTTTCTGCACACTTAACCTAAATATATAGTATGTTTCTTTTTTAATGACCAACATTATTCGCCATAAAACATTGTAGGTCTCGCCACCATCTTATTGAATTTTCCCTTAAGTTTGAGGGTTACTTTTCAATCACACAACTAGCACGATGCATTCCACCACTTCAACCATCCAACTTGAATTCTACTAATAATATTCACATCTATTTCACCATCACTCTAGATAATAGACTCAAATTTTCATCATTTTATAATTGATAATAAATATAAATCTCACCTCTGTAGTTCACTAATCACATACTAACTATGAAAATAAATCAAAATGTATGTAAGAATATTTTAATATAACTTGTATCAAGATGAGTATAAAAGCTCTTAGATTTAAGCTTAAGCTGTTTTTAAAAGAAATAACAAAGCCGTCTCAAATGAATTCTTATTGTTTTCTAAAGCAACTTTATAGTATAAAAATGTTTAGTTTTGATACCTCACCAAAAATCGCCTTGTTTCAGCACGAATCTCGAGGCATATTCAAGCCGAAAACTTCAGAAATTAAATTTGGGACCATCCAAGCTCCAATTTTAGCAAACTGGACGTCTCGAAGATAAGAACCCAACAACACCAAAATCGGTTCAATTCAAGCCCAAATGGGTCCAAAATAATGAAGCAAAGAGTATTTGAAAGGTTCAAATTATTAATTGGATGACCAAATAATCTCTAAGTATGTCATGCTTATAGCCAAATTGAGTGGCTAGATAAGACGAATATAACGAGCCCAAGATCACTTTATTCTGGCATCATTTGGACACATAAATGCTCAACGAACACCAATGATTGAGGGGATCAATACAGGTCGTCCGATGGAGCACTCCAAATTTGCCTTAGATCTTCTCCATATTTACGGGGCAAGGCATTTTTAAAAATTTATAAATAGACTCTCACTTCCGACCCGAAGGGGAGCTGAGAGCATGGACATTTAATTGGAGATTAGATAGGGCTCTGAGGCTTCAAAGATCTAGAGCTCCACCCAGGCAACACCGCTGGCAAGCCTCCATCTACAATCATCGGACAACCGCTCGGTCGTCGACATTTGTTAGACCACCACCCGGCTGCCGACTGTCGCCAAACTTCTGCTCGATCACGACCAGACTACTGCCCAGTCGCCCTCCAAAGACTTTTGCTCTACCGTCGACAACCGCCATACCACCGGATGTCTGCCGACCGTCGTCGGACTTCCACCCAGCTGCAGACCGTCATCAGACTTCCGCTCAATCATTGCTTGACCACCGCCTAGTACTATCATTTGTAATTAAAAATAAATACTAGTGAAAATCATTTCAACTGGTTCATACCCCATATTTTTTCCCCTTTTTAAGAATTTTCCACATAAAAATCTGAATATTTTTAAGACTCTCGCATCCTTCTTTCTTATATGTTTGTGTGTTGGATCTTCATACCAAACTTAGACGCTAAATTCTATATCTCTCTATCGCCATGAATGCTCTAGTCCGCAATAAGTTTAAAAAAAAAATTTACTAAAATAATGCTTTAAAAAAATGGTTTAAAATGAAATCTTATTTTAAGATTACTTCACTTTATTATATTTAAGTACCAATCCTAATATAAATTTAATAGCTCATATAGATTACATCAGCTTACCTTACACAATTATTCTTCTGACAAATGGCTGCAAAATATTTATTTGTCGTAATTTACCCAAATAAAGCACCTTCAATGATTCGTCGGATACGCTAAAAATGACAATCCGTAGTACGTCGCTTTAATGTGCACCAATACTTTATTAATTGCCAACTCCCTTAAACAATAGTTAATTCATTAATTAATTTTTGTATTATGATTAAGATGTAATTAATATAAATTAATTTCGGGAAAATTAAAAATTTCTACGCGGATGTCCATAAATGGAGCATTTGGACACCAAGGGTGGATTTGGCCCATCAGGCCCTAAAATACCCAAAAGGGTTCTATCAGCGACCGACCAGCTTTCTCTTTTTTATCCATTATTTCTATTTTTTAATATTTATTATTTAAAAAATTATTTGTTACATTAATCATTATTTACAATCATGCTTGGGCTAGCTAATCACCAAAAGCTCTCAATTATTACTTCCTCTGACCGGACGTAGAGCTACGTTCGGCCCCCAATAACATGTCGCCACGTGCTCTTACTCTTTACCGCGCGGCCCGACGACTTGACCCGGACCGGAACCCGGGAATGCTATGTTCGCGTATTGCGAGGTATTACTCGGTATTTGTTCGGTATTGCTAGGTATTGCTTGGCAATAATGAGAAATACCGCTATGTGAAGACCAATATCAAGCAATACCGAGCAATACCGAGTTGTACCGAGTTTTTCTAAAAAAACTTGATACAACTCGGTATTGCTCGGTATTGGTTATTGCCGAGCAAAATCGACCAATATCTAGCAATACCGAGCAATACCTAGCAAAATCGAGAAATACCGAGCCATCATGGGTCCGTTCCGGGTCGGGTTGTCGGGGCGCGCGATAAAGTGAGAACGCGTGGCGCGATTCTACTGGCGGCCGAACATAGAGCTACGTCCTTTGACCGGACCAAATAAAAGTTCCAACCAATGAGTCTACAGACTGATGGTCTGATCGTTTCTTTCCGATGTTGAAATGGAGTAATTAATTTCATTTGACTAATGAGACTGCAAAATTATTGTCCGTCATATCGTTCTGTTATGTTTGAATGTGGTTAGTTGCATTTAACTTTTAAATGATTTATATATTTTGGAATTTTCTGATCTGTTGCCATGCTAGTAATGGTTGACATTCGCTGTTAATAGTCTTAGCTAAAGGTTTCATTTAGGACGGCTTTTCTACTATTTTTTTAAACAGTTTTTTAGCATTATAATTTTTTATTCAAGAAATTTTTGCATCAAAAAGTTGATTTAGAAAGCAATAAGAAAGCTATCCCAAACAAAGGGCTTCATTTGTAATCAAATGCAAGCACTAGTGGATTCATTCAAACTGGGCAAGATCCTGTGATTTCCCCCATTTTTAGGGGTTCCACGGAAAAACTTTTGTGTCTTTTATAAACACTGCATCCCAACATATTTATTTGTTTGTATGTTGGATTTTCGTATAAGGCTAGGATGCTAAACTATATATTTATTTGCCGCCGAGAATTTTCCAAGACCCAGCACTAATTATTCTTGTGGCTTAATGCTACGTAACATATCTTAGAATGGCACAACAATATTGAGTTTATCATAAGGATTGATACATCGCAAGAAAATTCATATGATCATCATGAATTTAAAATGAATAGTTAAAGTAAACATTTTTAGAATTAAATTTAGAGCCATCCGGACTATCATTTGAACAATTTTATAGTTGAACTGAACGTGCCGACATGACAAATCCAATGATACCAAAAGTGATCAGATCTAAGTCAAAAGGAATCCAAGTCTAGCACTTAAAGCATAAATATATGAACTTTTGAATAGTAATTGAAACACCAAATGATCTCATTGTCTTGTCTGCTTATAATCAAATTGAGCTGCTTGACAAAATGAATCAAACGAGCTTATGATTATTCAATTCTAAGATCATTAAGGTACTCAAACTAATAAAAATAAGAGAGCAGACAATTAATATGCATTTAGTTTTTTGTATAGTTTTCATTCACGAAATTTCATATAAAAATAAACACATTCTTAAACACCAAGTTAAGGCACATATTATCACTCATTGCATCCAAGGGCGGAACTGTAGTGTACTTAGGGGGGGCAATTGCCCCCCCTCAAAAAAAAAATTTTTTTTATAGGAGTAAAAATTTTTTTAAAAAAAATTATAAGAGAGTAAAAAATTTTTTTGCCCCTCCTTAAATTTTTTTTTGCCCCCCCTAAAAATTTTTTTTTTCCTCTTTTGTCCTAACTTGTCCTAAAATATCTATATATTTCTTCACATTTAGTTCTAATATTTTCTTTCATGCTTTTAATAACAGTTTAATTATACATTTTTTCTTTATTTTTCTTACTTAATTTTTTTAAAAAACTTTTCGTAATGTATAGATATATAATATTATTTTTTTAATATTTAATTATTTTTTGTGTTGTATTTTTGCCCCCCTCAAAATTAATGCCGGTTCCGCCCTTGATTGCATCCCTAAAATAAATCTGTTGGCTCAGCTTACAGCCAAACCAATTAAACCGTCCACTATTCCTTTAAAGCTTCAATGCATAAATCGGTGTGATTCCTTAGCCTTCATTTGGGACGGCTGTTTTACGGCTTTTAAACAATTTTTTAATTTTTTTTACTGAAAAGTTGCTTTAAAAAGCAGTAAGAAAGTCATCCCAAATGATCCCTTAAGCACATTTAGCGGCCACTTACTCTTAAAATTACAATTAGATCTAAAAAAAAGGCCTATTCTGTTTAATTAATTTTTATTTTGCCTTTGCGATCCTTCTTTTGAATTTTTGAGCGATTAACCTTTTTCGAAGTTAAGGATCTCTTTTAATTAAGAGAATTTGTTTACTTAAAAAAAAAGGTTAATTGCTCAAATAGAGCATTTAGCAATTCAAGTTGTTGTCATAAACTGATTTAAAAAAAAAAAACAAATTTTATTGCAATAGAAAAAGGAGTACATGATGCAGATAAACAGAACGATTAAAAGGAACAAAAGATACAAAGGCATAAAACCCCATTAGGCTCAATATTTGGCAGAGGCTTCCAACTACACCGAGACCGGGCACAGACCATCCAATTTGGAGGGAGAGCAGACGAGCACGAAGTAGCCAACCAAATAAATGGAATAGAGACTCCAACCGAGTAAGAAATGAACCACCAAAGGTTGCCACGGACCACGCCACAGAGTAGTGAGCCCTAGCCACATCATTGCCCGAAACCTCCAGCAAAATGGCAACCACCAAAAGCAACGGGATAATACCAACCAACCAATGCAGCCCACGATAACTACCCAAAGGGAAAAACAGAAACCAGAAACACAGCCACATAATTATTTCCTACCACGATAGGAAACAGAGACAACAGGATGATCAATCTGTAAAGCAAAAACAACCCCAGGTTCATCATCGCCATTAGAAGAGTTTGACCCCTCCAACCAATCAATTTGCTCAAGACAACTGCAATTCAAAGTAGACTTTAAATGGAATTTCAATTCCTCATTAGAAATAAGGGAAATAGGGACTTCAATAAAAGGTTCACCAGACGAATGCTTAGGAGCTGGAGGGGACAAAGAAGCATAGCCATCCACTTCCAATTGCACAGAGTAACACAAGAAGTTCCAACCAACTGCACAAGAACCATATCATTGATAGGAGAAGACACATCATAAACAACAACCATAGGGTCAGCAGACCCCCCAAAATAACCCCCACAGACAGATCAGTTGGAGCAAGCACAGCAGCCCCACAAGATAAGCTACCTTTATGATTAGTGTGACAATTCAACTCTCCCACCTCACCAAACTTAGGAGCAAAAAAAGAAGAAACGAAAGGCACACTCCCCACCTCAAGACCAACATGCTCGATAGGGACAGACGGGGAGGGAACCAAAATACCGACAGACGGGCCATCAACGACCAAAGCTAAGGGGCTAGCGTCACAGGTAGCAACCAAAGTTTCCACAAACTCAAAATTCACTCTGTTAATATCCTCAATCTCCTTAGTAATAACAGTAATCTCCATCGCAGGCAAGAAAGGACCCTCATTAACCAAAGGCACGCCAGGCAACGCACAGGGAGAAGAAATAGAACCAGGAATGTTTTAGTAGCATAAATAGGCTGATTAGCCTCAAGGGGAAGGGAGGAGGAAATAACCAGCTCTGGATTAACCTTGCCTGAAATCAAAGGATCAGTAGCAGGACTACATAAATTACCAAATGAATGCCCAAAACACTCACAAGAAGCACAAAATTGAGGGAAATCCTCCAAAACCACTTGCTGAACATAGTCAGACTTCTCAGGGCCTAACCAAACCTTATCGGGGTAGGACTTAGTAACATCGAGCTCTACCAAAACATGAGCTAGGGACGGCCTGGAACCAATGGAGGTAGCAAAATTAATTTTCAGGGGTTTGCAAAAGAGTAAACCCAAACCGTGAAGAATGCGGGGAGAGAAAAGGTGAAGGCGCAAATGAGGGAAAGAGACCCAAATGGGAACAATCGGTGACTCAACACTAATATCCACAGGGGGTGACCACTTGGTAAGCTTCATATAATAATTATACACTAAATATGATCTATGACAGAACACACGACAGTAATCAAGATCATTTTTCAACTTGATAAGGATATTCTTCGGATCCAGCAGGGTGACCAAAAATTCCCCATTCAATTTAAGATTAAAGAAAAATCTTCGTATAGAGTCCAGAGACGATCGTTTCGATGGGAAAAACCCAACTAAAGGGAAGTGGAAATGGGCAGCTAAAGCATTGATCTCCTCTTCCGATATCCAAATAGAAGGTAATCCATGAAAAGAGAAAACCTTAAGTTCTGGAAAAGTAGCGACATAAGACAAGCCCACAAGAACATCTAAAAAAGAACGAGATGAAGAAGAACCCTCTAAAAAACCCAGGTTGCAGAGCTTCGGAGCCATGTCGGCACTCATCAGAAAGACAGAAAAACCAAACCAACAAACGAAAAGCCAAGAGCACAACCAGAGAGTAAGGAGAACTTCCCTGAAGGAACATAAGAAGGCGGCGCCAACGAAAAGCCCCGGCCGAACAACCGCGCAGGAGAGAGCTAGGGGAAAGCCCTAGCAGTGCTCACACGGCAATCCCACATCGAAAATTCTTTTATTAAATCATAATATCATAACAACGTCAAAAATGTGTATCATTGTTTATTGAACCATATACTATTGATAACTAGCAATGGTTCACCCAATAACGATGAATATATTTCCCTAAAGTATACGAGAAAAAAACAGATAAATAAACAATTTAAGAAATAAATATTAATTATTTGTAATAATTTTGAACGAGTTGCGTGCTGGAACATTTGTGACGATGGAGAGCAAGTATTTAACATTTTAGCTTTTTGTTGACCCATATTGATTCATTAGTCATAGACTATTCTTTCAGTATTTAAGTGTCTTGATGATGTTAAAATTAAGTAATCCTATGGTTGTCGGATTCATCGGGTTAAGAAGCTCAATTTAATTATAAGCTTGTAAGATTAGATATTACTCAATCCTCAAATTAATTCATGAAGTTTTCAATTATACTTCAAGTGCTTGATTTGGGCTCATTTGGACTCAAATTGGATCTCTTTTGGTGTTGTTGGGTTCATTTAATATAAAATTTTAGTTTGACTACAAAGTTTGCTAAAATTAGAATTCATATGATTTTGAATTTAATTTTTTAAGTTTTCCATGTAAAGACTTCATCAAGATTCATGCTTGATCTAGTGAATTTTTGGGTGACCTTACGAGTCAATCTAAATAATCTAAAGCTTGGTTCACTAGTATAATGAGCTCAACTTATTAATTATTTATCGAGTCAAGCCTGAGTTGTCTTACATATTAACTTGATTAAATTACAGATAAGACCTCCATCGCGTATTTATGTACTATTATTTTTACTCAAATGCAATGATGCAACAATTCTAACAATTGTTAGAAGCTAGAGGCCATCGTTGCAACACTTAAATAAATGTGGGCATCCCATTTAACACCAATGAATTCCCTTATTCATCTCAATCAAACAATATGAAGTTCAAGAAGCCCATGAGTATGACCAGCTACGAAGTTGTTTGAATTAGTCTAGAATAGTTCAAAATTGAATCTCATATAGTAGCCCAAGAACTAGCTTTTAACTCAACCTTCATCACTAAGAAATTGTACTTGCTGAAGAGACTCATAAAGTTCATTATAAATCAAGGTTGTTTGGCCAAAAATAATTTGTCAACTCCCCCCTAATGGCAATGTTCAGTGTTTGTATTGGTGGCGACGATGAATGTTGATATTATTAGTGGAAGCAGGTGTTGAAAATGAGAGGTAATGTTATTGGCAATGACTATCGTTGATGTCGGGTATTGACGTTTGTGTTAATGACAGATGTTAGTGTTGATGTCAATTGAGAGGTGGTTACACTACCAAAAAATAAGGTATTCGCAGCACAAATTCTGGGCTATAATGGCGGTTAAAACCGCCACAAATTCCTTTGCAGCGGTTATAAAACCGCTACGGATACGCTTTAATTACTATGCGCTGCAACGATATTTCGCAGCGGTTTTGCAACCGGCGGGGTAGCAGTTGAGAATAATTATTTTTGTAGATGACTTTTTCTTTTTTCTTTTTTTCTTTTTTTGAAAGGAAATAAATTCATTCATAAAAATAAGGATACAAGCAAGTCCTACAAAGACAAAATTACTATAGCTTGGATAAGGCCTTTTTATCTCCAACTCGGAGGCTGAATTAGACTAGACATGTCCTCATGAGTATTAATCTTCTTAATCCATTTTTAGGGATTGTTTAATCAAAAAGTGATTGAAATTTGGTAGATACAACAATGGCCAAATGTATTTTTAACTCTTAATCTTAAATTTATGATTCTTAATCAAAATATTTTTCAACTATCCTATGTCGGACAAAATAAATACTCTTATATGTCCTAATAATATTCATTTATGAGAACTTTTAATATCAACCACCATTTCTTTAAAAAAAAAAAAAGTTCATCATGTATTATGCATTAAGAATTCACTTAGGCTTCATTTGGAACGACTTTCTTATTAAAAAGCTGCTTTAAGAAGCGTTAAGAAAGTCGTCCCAAACGAAGCCTTAATTATATAGAGGCATCATACGAGTACCCTGTTCTTGAACCTTGATTAATCATTGTAGACACTGGCCACAATCTAAGTGACCCGCAAATCACATTTGCCATTCAATTTTAGCCTAATTATAAGCTATATACCACTTATAAAAACATGAAATCAAAGGGTATCGAATTTGCATTAGATGCACTAACAAATCAAATATATTTTTAGTATAAAAGTTTAAGCCTAATGATAACTGAGGGACTAAACTAACCTAAATCAGGAAATGGTCAATGATAATTAAATACTTAGTGTTTATCATAAATATTTTAGTCAGTGTGATATATAAATTTATGCATTTAAATAATAGTTATCTTAAATCAAACTAATATTTAATTTTTTTAATAATATCGAAAATAAAATTAGCTAAAAATAATAATAATATTTTTGTTACTGTAATAATATAAAATAACATCCACATCAAATCATACAGTCCCATCTCTTTGTAAACTGAAATTAATGTAGCCATTTGGTACAAATGTTCCATGTAATAATGGAATAAACACATTAAATTATCATAGTTTTCTTGAGATTCTATTCATTAAACGCTAATTAAAAGTCTCAGTTTGATCTCGGTGGCCTCCATATGTTAAGAAAAGCCTCAGCTGTGTTTAACTAAGGCTTAGTTTGGCACGCTTTTTTATTCTTTCTTAAATTAGAAAAAATTTAATTTTTGTACTAGAAATTTGTTTTAAGAAACAGCAAAAAAGTCGTCCCAAATGAAGCCTAAAGCCACTTAATGCAATAATACTGAAACTGTGTAAAGGATATTGACATTAATTTCTTTTAAATTGTTAGGGAGATTTAAATTTATATGCCTCATAATACACACTACTACAATAAAAACAGTCATTTTGATGGATAAATTTTTTGGAAAATGGTCAAAATCCAATGAAAAAAAAAAAACCGATGGATTTTTCGTTGTCCACAACAAATTGGAAAAAAGTTTGTTAAAAACATTCGAAGCTTTGTTTAAACTGGATTTGAACAAATGCTTGAAACAACTTGGACCCTCAACAAAACTTTCGTCATTTTAACCTCGTTATGAAGGAATCATGAGATTTACATCATTCGCGAAGGCATCATTGGACTAGTAGCGTAAGGGAAATCAATATAGAAAGGCATGCAATGATGGGACCTATTGCATGTGAAAAGAAGATCGTGGGCTTCGAGATCGCAAACGGACCTCGCTAGGAAGGTATCATGGAAGTGATGACTATGATGGAGCTTGTTGGGAAAGTCAATGATGGTTTGGCCACATGCAAGGAGAAGAGGATTTTATGGTCATGGAGAAACCTAGTTGAGATTCATATACACTATCAAATTCCGAGAAAATGGGAACACACATTCATGAAATAGAGATAAAATAAATAATAGTTCTCTATTAACTTTATAAAAAAAATTCATAGGGAGCTATTTTGATGACAGAATTTCTCTTAATTAACTTTATAAAAAAAATTCTTTCTGAGAAAATTTCTATGCATTTTTAAGTGGAAAAAAAAATATACAAAACCAAACAAAATAATGCATAACTATGTTATAAACTCCAATTTCCCAAGTTCATGCATTGACAATCATTTGAATGTTATGAAAGTATAAATAAATATGGACTAAAAATTGAGATTAGCAAGATATTATATTTAAGGTGTATTAGGTTGCTTATAAATAAAAACTTGTAATTTATGAATTAGAAAATATTATTATATATTATTTTGGTGTAAAAAATAGAACTATCAAAGCACAATATTATGGCTTAAATAATCCTTATGTGCAGAACCAGGTGTTTTTAAATTAATAATTGGCCCACTAGTAGGAGCTGGAGCCATATCGATCATTTAATTAGTATTGGGGTCTATCTAAGCTAACGAATGTGAGCTTGAACATTTTTATGCTTATTTTTTTATTTGTGCAATCAATCACTTCTTTATTTTTTAAAATTTCATCATTAATCACGATAAATTATTAGGTGTTTTGATCATATATGCGAATAATCGATAAAATTGCAATACACGG